TATTTTATAAAAAGATTATCTTTTTAAATGAACAAATTTATGATTTTTAAAGACTAGTTCTGAATTAATATAATGAGAAACAAATTTTTAAAAAAGATTTATTGGATGAAATTGGTTTTCATGCATGATTATGATGTTCATACTTTCTGTATTATTCGTAGTTACTATTCATGTCTTATGATCTTTATTTTAGTATATTCGATATGACATGATTTTCATTGCTCAGGATTGGTTGTATTTATTTATTATCTCCTTGATGTGTTTGAGAACCTTAGTAGTTCATGACTTAGTGGCCTCGTATGTCATGAACCGACTTAGTGACATGTGTGGGTGTGTTGACTAAGTTTAGGTGGTGAACCCGAGTTATAGTATGGATTATGATTGTCGACTTAGAAAAGCGAGAAGAGTTGGGATGAGGAATTCTTGGTTCATGTGATCGGATGTGAATGTTTATGTATTTTCCAGGCTCGCACCAGTGGATCGCTTCACTCTGGGGTGGGTCTGAGGAGTAGTGATATCGTGATTGTATATCGTGGTTGTTGGTTATTTTCCAGGCTCGCACCAATGGATCGTTTCACTCTGGGGTGAGTCTGAGGAGCAGTGATATCGTAGTTGTATATCGTGGTTGTTGGTTATTTTCCAAGCTCGCACCAGTGGATCGTTTCACTCTGGGGTGGGTCTGAGGAGCAGGAATATCATTGCACGTAGAAGTGATATTTGGACCAGCGACTTGTTATAGGATAGCTAGTTACATGACTTGTTACTTAGATGATTACGAATTCTTGTGAGATGTGGACCAGTTATATTTCTTTTCATACATAGATTGGGATTAAAATTTAATTATCTACAAATTAAGACATATGGTATATACATGAGGGTTTCCTTGTTTGAATTATTTTGCTCGACGTACTACGTCTCGAATTATAGATTTTTAAGTATTAATTTCATCTAGTTGTATGACATTATTACTTGGATGATTATTCTGATAGCTAGCTGCATGATCTTGTTACCTGGTTGATTTCCTTGGATTCTTTGATTATTATATGCTATTGGTGGATTTCGTCTAGTTTTTTTAGTATTCTAGTTGCATGTTTCTATTTATTATTACTGTTTCGCCCTGGTCGTTCGACCATTTTCTTTTCTCCTTTGTGGGATCTTGCCGTATGTCATACACGTTGACGTACACCTATTTTCTCTGGTGTACGTCAGATTTAGGAGACGGACATCCTCAGTTCGGAATCGTACAGGAACCAGAGGATTCTCAGTAGGAGCGTCTTGTAGGTGGAGTAGAAGAACAAGCTGAAGCGCAGTAGTTTTTTTCCTATAGTAGTTGATGAACATTAAAACTCTTTTACCGTACTTTTCTTTAGTTGATGATTGATTTAGTATTTTAACAGTACTTTTTTTATGGACTATGTATTTCTTATTTTCTAGTTAGACTGTTTTGTAATAAGGGTATGTTTGACCCATATATTTTTATGTCTGGGATGATTTACTGTTGATGATATGTCTATTTCTTATTCTGAATTGTCTTTATATTCTTACTATTGTGACCGGGGACCTGTGATTGAGATTTATGTATTTGACGCTTAGCGTATTGGATTAAGAAAAGAAAAGAAAAAAATGGTAGTGTTTATTTCTTCTCAATCTAATACGTCACGGGCTTATTCACGTCCCGGTTCTCTGGTATTTTGGGAAGCGGGGCGTGACAGGTTTTAGTGGTGGCCCATGCATGTTACGGTCCCGATCCCGATCACGGCCCCGATTCCTCACTAGTGAGAATATAATGGACAATTTAGACGCATGTCGTGATTTTATTCGTGAGACTATTCTTAAGCCCTTATCCTATTTTTCTTGATAGCTTTCGTTTCGTACCTATCTTATCATCCTTTGACTCCTAATCTTCCCACTGATTCTTGTCTCGTAACTTCCCATTGTTCCTTGTTTCTTGTCTCTTCTGCTTATGGATATCGTTCCATATCTGTCCTTGGGTTCATTCTTATTTTAATTCCGAGGACGAAATTTATTTTAAGGGGGGTAGAATGTAAGGACCATGAATTTTAATACTAGTTAAAATAAATTTTTAGTATTTTAAAATATTTAATTATGATTTTTAAAAGAGTATTTGTATTTTTCTCGATTTTCTACAATTTTCTATTATTTAAAAATCTGATTATATATTTATTTAAATGATTTTGATATTTATAAATTTATTTTATGCTGTAAAAATTTTTGGAATTAATTTGTTGTGTTATCGGTACTATTCGTATTATTTTAAATAATATGTTATACTATTAACATTATTACGTATTATTTTGTATAATACTTTGTATTATTAATTACGTATTATTTGTATAATTTATTGTATTATTTCTACTGTTGCGTATTATATGTTGTAGTACTACGACTGGTATGTTTTGATGTGTAGATAATTTTTATATAATTATTTATATTTTTTTCATAATTATTATTATTTTAAACAGAATTTTAAACCCTAACACTCTCTCTCTCTATATATATATTATTATATTTTTTGTTTTCTTCTCTCTTCTCTTCTTCCCTAACCCGACGTAGCCGCCACCCCATCTCTTTTCTCTCTCTCTCTCTCTCCTCTCTCTCTCTCTCTCTCTCTTCCGCTTTCTCATCGCCAACGATTGCCTCCTCCGACTACCCCCGTCGTGCCCCGCTCGGCCTCCCCACCCCGAGCACACCGTCGCTCGCCTCACCCTCCGCTCCTCTGATGTCATGTTAGTTCTAACTTTAAGCTAGTATTATTTCTAATATAAGTGTTAGTTCTAGTGGTTTGTTAGTTCTAGTTGAGCTCATGTTAGTTCTGGTGGTTCTCATGTTAGTTTTAGCTGATGTCATGTTGGTTCTACTTCTAGCTAGTGTTGGTTCTAATATAAGCGTTAGTTTTAGTGGCTATGTTAGTTCTAGTTAAGCCCATGTTAGTTCTGGTGGTTCTCGTGTTAGTTCTAGCTGATGTCATGTTAGTTTTAACTTCCAACTAGTGTTATTTCTAATATAAGCGTTAGTTCTAGTGATATGTTAGTTCTAGTTGAGCTCCTGTTAGTTCATGTGGTTCTTGTGTTAGTTTTAGTTGATGTCATGTTGGTTCTACTTCCAGCTATTGTTGGTTCTAATATAAGCGTTAGTTCTAGTGACTATGTTAATTCTAGTTAAGCCCATGTTAGTTCTGGTAGTTCTCGTGTTAGTTATAGCTGATGTCATGTTAGTTCTAACTTTCAACTAGTGTTATTTCTAATATAAGCGTTAGTTATAGTGGTCTGTTAGTTCTAGTTAAGCTCTCCTGTTAGTTCTGGTGGTTCTCGTGTTAGTTTTAGCTGATGTCATGTTGGTTCTACTTCCAGCTAGTATTGGTTCTAATATAAGTGTTAGTTCTAGTGGCTATGTTAGTTCTAGTTAAGCCCATATTAGTTCTGGTGGTTATCGTGTTAGTTCTAGCTGATGTCATGTTGGTTCTAACTTTCAGCTAGTGTTATTTCTAATATAAGCGTTAGTTCTAGTGGTCTGTTAGTTCTAGTTGAACCCATGTTAGTTCTAGTGGCTCTCGTGTTAGTTCTATCTGATGCCGTGTTAGTTCTAAATTGCATCTAGTGTTATTTCTAATTTAAGCGTTAGTTCTAATGAGTTAAGTTAGAATTAATATGAAGTGAGTTAGAACCAACATAAAATAAGTTAGAACTAACAAAGAGCCCAAGAGCCCAAGGCCCAATCAAAGACATTTAAATATATATTGTAGCTATAAGGGTTTGAACTCTTGGCCTCCTCTCCAAATTACCAAGCTTTACCACTAGACCAAGTAGCCTAAGTATTAATGTTAGTTCCAATTAAAGTTAGCTCTTACTTGCCATTAGAACTAACATGAAATAAGTTAGAACTAACATTAAATAACTTAGGACTAACATGAGTTATTGCTCATGATAGAGTTTAAAAAAGGGCGGAAAATTTCCCTCCATTTTTTAGTCAGATCGCATTAATGGACGCGACTTTCCATATTTTGAGAAACAGAGGCGTCTTGGGAAGATAAGTGGAGGGGCAATATCGGGTTTTCTTCCAAAATACAATCTTTTTTTTGTATTGCTGACATGGAGGGGCCTTGAAACATTAATACTATTTTTTGGGGGCTGAATCACATGGGCCAAAATACAAGGGGCTAGATACATGAAGTTACTACTTTTGGGGCCCCGACACAATTTTCCCATCTTTTTTTAACTATCTCATCTTAATCCACTATTCTACACATCTTAGAATTTCATATTCTTCATCTTTCAAGTTTCTATAAATCATTCATTTTCTTCTCTATTTTTAAAAAAAACTTACTTTATCCTCTCTTTTTAACCAAAAGTCTAATATAGATATAAGAATATTAATTTAATCTTGTGCATCGCACCGGTAACAACTAGCTTAATCTATAAATTAAGACCATTACTTTTATTTATAGAATGGAAGTATCATTGATCTTCTTTATTAGGTAGAACATACGAGCCCCACTTCCAAAAGAAGGATAAAATTTTAAAATAGAACGTATTTATGATTTATTTATAAAAATCAACTCATTTACAATTTATTCACTATTTTGACATGGTTTCAATTAACTGGGTTGAAAATGGTAAATCACGTGAAGTTTAGTGCTTAATTATCCAACCTAATTGAAATACAACCAGCCTAAGCCTAATAACCACCAAACTAAACTTCATATGATTTAGAACCCCATGAATTTTTTGAAACTTTTTACCAATTTTGACCCAGTTATAGCTAGGTAATAAAAACTAAGTCGAAAATGGTAATTAAATTTCAAGGGGTCTCTTTTTAAAATTAAATTTCTAATAGAGTCTATTTTGTTAATTTGTCCCAAAAAATTCACTTCTCATCAATTGCCAGATTCTCCTGACCAGTTTAACGCGACTGTTCCTGCGGCACACCTACACAGATGCCCACGCCATCTCGATGACGACCGATTGACTGACTCCTACGAGTCCACCATTTTCCCCCTTGATTCCCTTTTTCTCGTCCCCTTTTTCGTACTTAATAAAAAGAAAACCTAGTCGTAACCCTAACCCTAGAATTGTTTCTCATCAATTGCCATGGCCGGAGCTCTAGGGTTTTCTTTGGTCGCCATGGCTGTTCTCTTCCCTCTCGTGGCCTCGAATTCTGAGGGAGACGCTCTCTTTGCGCTTCGAAGTAGCTTATCGGATCCTGATAATGTGTTGCAGAGCTGGGATCCGACTCTTGTTAATCCTTGTACTTGGTTTCATATCACTTGCAATCAGGATAATCGAGTTACCAGGGTGTATGATCTCTGTCGCTTTCTTATTTTGGGGCAAAAAGCCCTCTATTATTAGTATACTTGGTTTCTATATTGTTATGTTCGATTTCATTTACCAGTAGGATCTTTGTTGGGATCTAGTCAATTGGTTGGACATCTTTAGTTGCTGATCCTACTTTTCTTTAACTGGATGTGGAAGGTTTGATTTGTGGTAGCTGGTAGTAAGAAAATTGGTAAATTTGGTTGTTAGATTGTTTTTAAGAGTGAAATAGTTAAGTTGAGCATGATTAGCTGTTACTTTGCATACAAATACTAATTTTCGTTTGTTGCTAGCAAAACAAGGGTGCGTTTTTGTTCTTTGCTGGTTCTCAATGTATTGTTAGTTTGGTGCTTATTTGGTTTTCCACCTTTTGAATAGAGTTTTTTTCACCTAGAAACCACACTTGGAAATAGGGTAATTATACAAAAACCACCTTTCAATTTCAATTTATACGTGAACCACCTTTAAAGTGGGTTTTGTTTAAAGTGGGTTTTGTTGCAGTCAACCGCCTCCCAGTCATATTTTCACTTAAAAAAAAATCTTAAAAAACTCAAGTTCAAGGTAAGTGAGTTGTATCCTAACAAAGACGTAAACACTAATAAATGAGCCATGTATCTTGAATATGAGTTTTTAAGGATAATTTTTTTTGAGTGAAAACTTTGAACACGTGGTTGATTGCAACAAAAGCCCACTTTAAAGGTGGGTTATGTTTAAATTGAAATTGAAAGGTGGTTTCCATATAATTACCCTATTTTAAATGTGGTTTCTAGGGAAAAAAAACCTTTTCTATATTGAAATTTTGTTTTATGTGATTGCACCCTTTTTCTCCAAAGATAGTTGCTTGAATTGTTTGAATTTTTGAGCTTAGATGAAACATGTGGCTGGGGATGTACACACTTTATAGATACATCTACTGTAGCAATTAGGTATTGAAATAATTCAACTTTGATATTTTGGGTATAGTAGGCAATTTGGAAATGGGTGGGTATATCATAAATGCCCAGTAAAAAACCCAATTATAAAAGGAAAACCATTTATGTACATAGTCTATACCAGGATTCGCAATTGGGGAATCAGGAATTGAATTCCCACCACTAACCTTCTTGCAGACTTTGCCTGTGTTACGAGCTCAAACTAGCTACATGGTCATAATATTATATTGTTTTATTGGTAGAATGTACCCTGTTGGCATGAATCACAAAAGCGTGAACTGTCACTAAAGTTTTTACCTAAGGCGTAATAAGGTTAGTAGGCACTAGGCACTTAATCAGATCAAAATCAAATAAAGATTTGTTAATGTATCTTACTGAATTATATCTGCTGAAAAGCAGCAAGAAATATAAATGTAAAGTTACATGATGGATTTGTTGAAATTTAGACATTTTTACCGACAATGCAACTTATGTACGCCCACCACATGGTAAGTATATGAGTTCTAGATTAGACAGCTTGCTACCTATTAAATTATGATTTCTTATATTTGTTTTGTTAGAACCTAGGCTATGATCCTCTGTTACTCTTGGTTGTTCAATCTTCTAGTTTACATATTTTCCTCCACATATTTTATTTTTTATTTTGTTTTGTTTCAGTTAGTGAAGAATTTCTTCATCCTCTGTACGCTAGATGTTATGTCATGTTTAGGACTTACGAGTTTGAGAAGAATTTGTTAATCATTTGATGTCGCTTTCTGCAGGGACCTTGGTAATTCAAATTTGTCCGGTCATCTCGTACCTGAACTTGGAAAACTTGAACACTTGCAATATCTGTGAGTGACTTCTTGCTATGCTTATGGATCTTTCTAACTACATCACATGCAAGCACTTTAGTCATGGTTGTCACTTGTCAATGTTCCCTTATCTGTAGAATATTCGTCTTAGGTAGCTGGCTGGTGTTTTTGCTATATAAGTCGTATGAAGCTCCAGAAATGACTGCTTTCAGTTATGGAATTTATAAAGGGTCGTGAGTGTAGCATATTTATATGAGGTCCCACTGTAGGATAACATATTCAACAAAGAGAACATTTGGATATAATCTGATTTTTTTAAAGTTTCATTTCTTTTTAATTGATTGTACAGGGAATTGTACAAAAATAACCTTCAAGGCACCATCCCGGCGGAGCTTGGTAACTTAAAGAGCTTGATAAGCTTGGACTTGTACAATAACAATATCTCTGGGTCTATCCCACCATCGCTGGGAAAACTGAAATCTCTTGTATTCCTGTGAGTTAATTTGTTATTAAGTTCTGTCTATCCCACCATCGCTGGGAAAACTGAAATCTCTTGTATTCCTGTGAGTTAATTTGTTATTAAGTTCTGTAAAATCTACAAATAACTATATCTATCTAATCTCTTGTATTCCTGTGAGTTAATTTGTTATTAAGTTCTGTAAAATCTACAAATAACTATATCTATCTCCTAATTGGGCATCATTTATTTAACCTACAATGATCTTAAGTTGATCTTGTCCTCTGAACAGGCTCAATCATTGAAATCAAACTATGCTCTCCCTGAACTTTAAATTACTTTGTTTTTTACCTTTTTTTTGGCAAGTTGCTCCTTCAGGCATTATGCAATTGCAACCTTTGCTAATCATGTTTGTCCTTTGTAGGCGGCTTAATGACAATCAATTAACTGGGCAAATGCCAAGAGAACTTGTTGGAATTTCTAGCCTGAAAGTTGTGTAAGTTGGTTTTCACTCATCAAGATTATCTGTGCAGTAAGCCAGTAACTTCTTGCATTGGTTAATCACTTTCTTTTGTGCTTCCAGAGATGTCTCTAGCAACAATCTATGTGGGACAATTCCAACTTCTGGACCTTTTGAACACATCCCCCTGAGCAAGTAAGCTCAAACTTGTTTGATCTTTTATTTCCATTTTTAAAATTTTGTATTATTTTCAATAATTTTTACCTGTCAACTGGAGGCTGAGAATTATAATTCAGAAGTTCATACATTTCAATTTAATTAATTTTAGGTCTACATCATATCTTGAAGTTCCAGAATTTCGAATTTCTTACTTTTATTCATATATCACTGTTAATTTTTTTGTTTTTTTTTGTTTTGCAATTCAGTTTATAGTTTGTACAGAATAAAAATCAATGGGTTCTGGTGTTAAATGCATAGGTCTAACGCTATGTTTTCCTACTTTCATAAATTGATAATGTTAGAATATAAACTATAACTCTCAACCTTCACCATAAGTTTAGAGTTCTGGTGTAGTGACAGGGACATTGACATGGTATCAGAGCAATATTGGTGCAAATCCTGCTAGCCACAAATTTCTAAAATGGATTAAAAAAATTCCGCTGCATGAGTTCAGCTTTCGACCCGTAGCTTTTGACCCATAGAGAAGGGCCCTCATTCAACCTGCGGGAGCATGTTAGAATATTAAATTATAACTCTCAACCTTCTACCACAACTTTGGAGTCTGTTGTAGTGGCTTGAGGAGATACTTTCTTGAAAAACCCATTGATCTGGCTTTAAATATGTCGAGCAAGTATGTATATGCGTAATATGAGTAATAATTAACAAAGGGTGTTAAAGTTAGCATATACATACCGGATATTATGAATTGTATCATATGTTGCATGGGTACTTCTATCATGTTGCTGTACCTGTACCCAACATCTACAAGACAATGACACACCTTGGGCACCTCTATCATATATCTTACATGTATCGGACACTGATGCACCCAGACATAATCCTTTGATCATGGTGACATGATCTGCTATATGGATTAATTGTTTACTCTACTTTTTTATCATTTGCCTTACGTATCAGATCATGACCTTTCATATGAACCTAGGTCTACTATGGTATGCATCTAACCATCTTTTTACTATCCTCGGAGTGCTATTCGTGATGTAATTTTCACCATGTTCTCTGTAGAGCTGTTGAATTATTGTATGCGATTTGTTGCATTTTTTGCACACGCACGTGTGTTTTGGGCATTTTTTTTTGGGTTTGGGTTTTTCTTCTTCTTTTTTTTTTTGTTGGGGGGTTGGGGGGGGGGGNTTTTGCTCATTTATACTTACAATTGGAGTCATATACGATAGTCGAGTGGAATGACTGAACACTGTTTAATAATGGTGAGAACTACTCATATGAATCTAACAAATCAATAACTAGCCACCTAATAATATGTTGCTCAATTCTGATTTGATTCTGCTTCTGATCTCAAATAAAGTTAACCATAATAGCGTGCTACGCACAATGAATCAAACAAATAACTGCCCCCCTAATAATATGCTGCTTAATTATGATTCTGCTGCTGAGTCTCTTTTACCTTCTGTGCAGCTTTGAGAACAACCCTCGGCTTGAAGGTCCAGAGCTTCAGGGGCTTGTAATGTATGACACAAACTGCTAAATGGCGAGGAGGACGCAAGTCACAATCTCTACTGATATTACCTTCCTTTTATTCTAAACATACTATCCAGGTTATAATATAATGTATATCTAGTTACAAATATAATTGAACTGTATTTGCGGGTCATGAAAATGCTGCTCTGTGTTGTGCATGTAGATAGGTTTGATGTCGCTCCTCCTGTTGCTTTGGAGTTTGTGAATAAATTGTGAAGACTGATTGATGCTAGTAAACATCTGATTGATGATTATTGACGAAGTCTGAACTATGACTTCTGTTTCACAGTGATCTGTTTTTAAAGGCTTTGCTCGGAGATAGATTAGTCTTTCTTTAGAAAAAGTTTGAAAATATGAGTAAATACGCATGAGAGGTTTCTACTAATTTATAGTGAAAACATATAGTGTATTTTCATTTTTTTAGTTGAAGTAAATACAAGAGGATGGAAAAAAAATACCTCCTGTTCAGAATAAGCTCTTGTGTACCATGATTTTTAGTTCGAGAAGAATTACATTCATATTTAGTAGCATTTTTTGTCTGTTGGATTTTTGTGTTCCATGATTTGCATCCGACTACATCTCCCTGTGCTTTGGATTTCGTTTCTAGGTTCGAATGTTACACCTCTGATGGAATCAAATATCAACGTATTTGTATACTCGTTTGAATTTTTTGAATTCAAATATCGTTTTTTGAATTTCTTCGAATTTGAATACAAATACTTTCGAATATTAGTGAACATTCATTGAATGATGCAATAATATCTCTATTGAATAATAACTTATAGTTAATGAACTCCGAAAGTATGTAATAAAAAAGACTGTTTTAATCAAAAAGACTGTTTTAACCCTCTAAAATTAGTGCATTATTACACAATGTAGATGGGTTAACACAACAATATTATGCATGTAATTTTACAATTCATCGAAATAAATATTTAATAATCAAACAAGTTGAGTATAAATCTAGCAAACTTCTATTTGTTCATGAGATAGTCAACTCATTATCTAATAGGAGGGGACACCTCACTTGTCCCCCTATTAGTCTCATATTTTGGGTGTTTGAGGAATTTTTCCTTAAATATTAAATACTATTTATTTACCATTAATGAACTACCAAATTCGATATGATCAAAATAGATCACTGCTCGGTTTGACTGCTATAGTGGTTGGCTATCCAACAGCAGACAGCGTACCCTCTCCCACGCCACGTCACCACTCTCCTCCTCCCCCCTCGCTCTAAAAAAAAAAATCCCCAATTCCCTTCCCTCTCCTCCCCCTCTCTCTCTCCCCGGCGCCAAAAAGACGAAACCATGGCAATCTCGTAAATAACCACCAAATCACCGTCCATTTCCCTGGCCCCTTCTCCTTCCTCCTCCTCCTCGAGTGGCGATATCGTAATCCTCCGATGGGGAACGCGAGCGCGAAGGAGGAACTCGAGAACGGGGACGATGATCCCTCGATGAGATCGGACGGCAGAGATCCCGAGGGATTCCCTCCTCCTCCGCCGCCGTCGTCGATGAGGTCGCACGTGCGGAGGGCGCAGTCGGTGGACTCCATGGGGAACACTCCCCCCGATAGCCCCCGCCGATCGAGATCTCCCCTCATGTTCGCTCCTCAGGTAATTGACACAGAAAGCTGACGATTTTTTATTAATTACTTTAGTTATTTTTCTGGCTCGATTCTTTTGGATCTAATTTGAGTATCTAGGATAAGGTTTGTAAATTAAATTTGTTTCTGGTGCTTTTAGCTCACTAAAAGGTAGACTTGAATTGGAGTAGTGATGGTAGAGAAATCAAGATGATGATGATTATGAAGAATGTTTCTTATTTATTTATTTGTTTGTTTGTTTATTTTGTGATTTGAATCTGTTGGATCTAATTGAATATCTGTTTTTGGCAGTATTAGCTTTTCTTTTATTTATTTGTTTATAAAATTAATGATGCTGTATATGCTTTTTAACTTACTGAAAAGGCTACTTTTAATGACTTGTAGACTTGTATTGGAGTGATTATTGCTTGCTTATAAAGTTTGATGATGATTATGAGTGATAATTCTAATTTTTATTAATTTAATTTTCTTGATTGAATCTATCTGTTTTTGGCAGTGTTATCTACGAAAAGGATTTCATCATTATCTTTGTTCATTTTTCAAACTAAAGTTGTTTTCTTTGCTTTTAACTTACTCAGTTAATTAACTCAGGCAAGAGGCAGAAATCTACATGATGATGGTTATGGGTAATGTTTCTTAATATTTTATTTATTTTGTGGCTTGAATCTATTGGATGTTGTTGCGTTTCTGTTTAAGACAGCATTATCCATAAATAATATTTACTAATTCCATGTTTTATTTCTTTTAATAACTCACTTAAAATGTCAATTGTAGTTGAATTGGAGCAATGATTGGTTACAGTGAGCCTTACTTCGTTAATTTCATGATTTGGGTCTCTACTTTTCTAATTGATTTTGGTTTTAATCTCCTTGGTGGCGCCAACATTATGGATAACTTGCTTAAGACCATGGCTTATTTTTGTTCTAACTATATTGAGCAAGAAAGAGGGCATATTCAAGTCGGCTTTATTTTTCAACTTTGAATGAATTGAATACTTCGGGAGGCTAGTCGACAAGAGATTATAGAGGATAAGCTTGTAAGAATAGTGGATGATTGATTTGCCTATTTTCTTGTTCATTTAACTGTTCCAATTGAACAGGTTATGTTGACTTTCTCCCCTCCTAGCTGAGATCAGAACAGGAGAAGAGTAAGCTAGGGATCCTTACATGAGTCCTTGTACCTTGACATGCACAATGTGATCTTAGATGAGAGCTCGTGAATGCGAGCTTTCCTTTCTGAAGCATTAAGAAAATAGTGTAGGAAAACACCTTATGGCGGGAAATGATAATACGAATAGAAATTAGTAAAAGATTAACTTGAAAGGAGAAATATAAATGTGTGAAAAGATGGAGAGAGCTAAAAGTATCAGTGAATTTGGGTTCCTTTATAAAATCTTCCTCTATCAGTTGCTTACTTTCCTATACATGGAGAAACTATGTGTACACAAAAATACTAAAACTGCCTTTTATAGAACAAAACTTTTAGCTAACTATAAAAGGATATGGTTGCTTACTGTTAATGAAGAAAATCAGCAGCTGTTAACTCCTGGGTGTCTGTTTGACACAACAGGCATAGTCATATATTCTTCATGAATTTGCCAAACAATAAAAGAAGTTCTTCAAAGATTCCTAGTAAGGGTATAATATCCAATCAGTCTTTTTGGCAAGAAGGATCTGTGACATCATTTGTGAGGTGAATACTAAGACTTAAAAGAAGATCATTAGGAGACTCAAAAGAAGATCATTAGGAGCTAGGAAATTTAGTTAGAAACTGTTGGTGGCTAGAGCTGAAAAGCATATGCCACGACCAAATCTCACTGTAAAGAATGACTAACCAAGGGTTTGGAGTTTTTTTAAAGGTGCATTCAAGGGACGCAATGAACAAGCCTGACAGTCTTCAGTTAGTACAAAAAAGGTAAGAGGGATGATTGCCTCGTGGATAACAACGCCACCATCAAATCCTTTGACCCAATTTTTTGGGATTGTCTACGTGAATCCTATTCTTCCGTTCAGTTCTATTAAGGGAAATTTCCTTCGTCGAATTAATCACTATCGTATCCACCTTAATTGCTACTAAACAAGTTTTTAGGCTTATCTCTAGTTCTCTTTACTTCATTAATTATGATATTCGCTTAATTTAATGTGTGTATTAATTAGCCTTCGTCGCACATGAACTCCAAATAATATGAGATAAAGGTAAAACCAAAGAAAGTTGATTGCCTTATAGATGAATTCCAAAATTGACCCTTCGGGGTTCTGTTTTTTCTTCTTCTGTTGCATCCAGGTCTGAATAGGAAATGTAGTAGAAACAGGGTGCACCAATCCTTTCTACACCAACTAGCTTCTTGAATAGTTTGTTATTCAATGTTTCTGAGAAATTACCTTTTGAAGATTGACGGCAGAAATAACTCATTGGGAAAACAAAGAAATGTACTTATAAATGTTTCTGACATTTGCACTGACATGTCTTAGTGCATTTAGAACCTTCAATCTTCTATGGGTCTGTGAAAACATAGTAGAACGTCCTCTAGGATTCTGTGCACCTGTCACCCAGTTTAGGACCTTTTAATTAACTTTAATATAGGTATTTTGGTTGTCATTTATTCCTTATAATAAGCGTAAGGAAACAAAAAGGTTGCTATCTTTCCAAACTTGTCTGAGAGAACACTGGATAGAATTCACTCATGACTAGCTAGACTGAGTTGCAGGAGATCCATGAAGTAAGACGAGTGGAATGCAGCAGATAACGTTATTGAGGATTCGTTCCCTCTTTGAAGCTATACACATGAACAGCGGGAATTATGTCCCAGATTCTTTGGAAATGTAACATGCAGTCACGGAGAGGTTGAAAGTGGCACGCAATATGTCTTTAGAAAAGTAACATGCTGTCATGGAGAGGTTGAAAGTGGCACGCAATATGCAGGTCATAGTGTAAGTTGCTCAATTATTCATGAAAAAAGTGTATATCACCAAACTGGCGATTGAGGTGTCAGTTTTGGATTGTTAAGAGACAATACAAGTGTTTACCGAGTAATGTTGTAAGGAACATTCTATTATGAAGCTCTGCGGTGTGCTCTTGTCATCTTATGTGATACTTTGTGAGCATTCCAATCGTTTGCAGGGTGTTTTTGACATTCAGCACAAGCGCCCAGCTTGTGTTTTGATTCCTTGTACATATTTAAAGGTCTAGATAATCTGGACGCTTCTCAGATGCGTTTTGGCAAATGCCTATCTTCTCTTGATTTGTTGCACATATTGCGATAAAATTTTTCCTTTTAGTTCTTATTCAAAGTTAATATCTATGAAAACATACTATATAATTTATTTATATGTTTCATCATTAGAGTTGAGATACGTTAAGCTCCTTTATCAAAGATAGAAAGGAAACTGTAATCTAGAAACTGAAGATAAAAATGAAACGGAAAGACAGAAACTGTTCGTATGGATTCATATAAATCTAAGGAATATTATGCTTATACTATTTGTATGTCATATTTCGTTATTATTGTGTAAAGAAATATATACTGTTTATGACAAAATTAGTACGTATATACTACAGAGGCCGAGCCTTTTTGGAGTCCACATAATAAGGAAGCTGCTAATTTATGTTTTTGTATAACATACACGCACTACGGTGTCTGTGCAGTACCCCATGCTAGGCTTTTTAAAAATTTTGATACCAGCATCCTTCCATTTTTGTGTATTTCTTCTTGTACTTAGGGCTGGGAACGGACCAAATAATTAACAAGTAGTTGTTAATTGTTCGAGTAACTATTCAATAATATCTGATTCAATAGTTCATTTAACACTAAATAAATTTTAGTATTCAAATTCATAAACTAATGAAATTTGCCCATATGTATATTCGATTCGTTTGCTTATTTAGTATTCGATTAAATGATGCTATATTTCCCACCTATTTACACTTCCTACATAAGTCCTATATACTAAATTTTGAGACTTAAAGAATTTTAAATCAGTTTTATAACTAAACATTCGTATTAAATATATATACATCATAATTATGAGGAACAATTTTCAATTATAAATTTATATACTATTTGAAAATTAAATTCTTCAGCAAAACGAAGATACTTTGATATTCGATAAATGTTCGTGAATGTTCATGATTATTTATCAAATATCGAGTATTCGAGTTCGAATTTTAAAACCCCAGAAGTGGATAATTAGAATTTGAATTCGAATAATTTATACAAATCCAAATATGAACGCCTTCGTACTCGGTTTGATTTGTTTCTAGCCTTTTGTACTGCTGATTGCTTATGTTCTATGGAGTTTTGACGTTTTCTCAATAATCAATAGGAGAAAGATGCGTCCATTCTCTGTGAATGAACCATGATTCCAAATAAACTTTTTTGTTTGTGCCTTCACAATTATTTTAGAGTGCCAAATACCTTTCTAAATCGGAGAATGAAACAAGATTTGGAGACTAAAAGTAGGGAAGGGATTTACACTATAAAAAACTGTTTGTAAAGGCCTCAGTCTATATTGTACTATGTCAGGTTGATACGGGTGTCTATATATTGCTTATCATAAATTTATTGTCTGTTACTCTATGACCAGAACCTTTCAGAAATAATTAGTCTGGCTGTATTTATGCATTTTAAATATGGTATAGTGGGAAGCACATAAGGTTCAAAGGCTGCTTACAACACATTTTGACTCCCAGTCTCTATTTTTTTCCCATCACCAAACCATTTACTGTTTCATCTATTCCAATAAGCTAAGTTACTTCAATCTGGATCATTTACAATGACTAGGACCCTGGCTTGTTTGAATCTTTATATTCTGAATGATAGAATAATATCTCTTTCCTTATTATCATCTTTTGGAGTTTTCTTGGAAAAACCTCTACACAAAGATGAGATCATAGTCCAAACTATATGGGCAACAATGTTGTGGCACTATCCATATGGAAAGGGGAAAGGAGAAAGGAGAAAGAATAGAGAACAAGAAATATATGGATAACTGGAAAGTTTAATTTTTTATTTGTATAGACGGTCAATCAGAATCCTGAATAAATGCACAAAATCTCACAAGAAAACATCTTAAAACCTTCATTAGTAACTTTTATGAGTTCCTATGAAGACACACAAAGCCCTGTCAAGACTAATCCATATATAACCCATAATTAACCTTTGATGCGCCTTAAACCACAACTATCCAGATTTCCATCTTTGCTTCCATTACGGTATAATTGTCCGTCCAAACAATAATAAGTTCAGATTCTGATTGATATCACTCTTTAACTTTGGCTGGTATTTCTTCCCATAATATGAAAGCACCATATATACAACATTCCTCCTTGAGCCAGGCACATGATTATTACCCACATCAACTCTATCAAAAATCTTGATGTTAATTATTCCCACACAAATAGCCTCTCAAGCCTTATAATTCTTTTGAACATTTCTTCTTCATTTTCTAATTGTATGTAGCTAATAAATTTCTATTAGAATACATGAGAGGTTAGTCCGAAGTCGATAAACTTTGAAAATTAACTAGCAGATTCAGGTATTGAAGTAAAAACCTCGTCCATGCTGTCAAAATTCTGCATGTTGCTATCCACTTTATTTTTTCTAACTTCTTTTTTAGTAGTTTTATGTTATTTTCATTATACACACCATTTCCTCAAATAGTCATATCCTAATTTGAAAAATCATTTCTTGCAAAATAGTTTCTTTCTCTTAATTTTTCTTTCTCGAAAGGTTCTCATAATGTGATGTTCCCATTACTATTCATCCACATTGTTCTTATGTCATTGGAGATTCATGGAATCTCTCAATATTGTGGAATCTCTCTTAAAAGAAGGTTGTAAAGAGGCCATAAAATTAGTGCTATATCCACTTATTTAGTCTCATCTTTAAATAGTGTGGAATGATGCTCAAAATAAGGTTGTGAAGTGGCTATAAAATTAGTGCTTTATCCACTTATTCAGTCTCAACACCGGAGAAGGTTAATGAAATTATTCTATTAAACTGATGCAGGACTTGCATGCCTTGGTACTGGAGAAAGTTTAGGTCGACATAGGGTATATCATTAAAAAAACATTTATATCCAAAATTGTCCACCCCTGTTTTTTTTTTGGAAATGTTACTTACTAGTCATATTTGTCCACAAATTGGAACCTGTATTAGTAAGTTGGTGGTAGGCTTTCTGGACCTGCAATTATTATTATTTGCTTCTTTTTTTAAAAAGCAAATCTATGTGGAATATGTGAACTATTTTGGATAACTAATTTATTTTGTAACCAGTTTGGGTGCCTTTTTCCATCTTCTATGTTTTATAGTTTCAAGCCTATTTTAATTCATGAGAATTAGGACCAATCATTCTCTTCCATGCTATATCTTCTTGGACGTGTCCAGTGTATAGGCTGCTAACTTTGGTGTCCTGTTATTGTGAGATGTTAACTTGGTGCCTCATTTTTTGATTATCTCTCCAATAAAGAAGAAGTGTCCAGCAAGTTGAATTGACAAAATTGTGTTTCTTTTTCACTGTGTTAGTAAGCTTTACCTAAACTGATATGTACTGTATGTCCTTTGTGCTGAATTTTTATTTTTCCTATCAGGAAATTCATAGAGATATGAATATGGTAACTATGAAAGCCCGCATAATATGAATTTTTTTCCCTTTCTGTTCTCTGCATAAGCTTTTTCCTTGATTTTCTATGAGAAAGAAAAAGTTTGTATCAAAGTAAATTGAGTCTTTAAGCTTATTCCTTATTGTATCTGCTACAAGGTACTGAGTGGTGTGATCTTAAGTTCATTTTCACTGAATCTGCTAGTGTCTTTTGGTCACAATTGAACTGCATCCGTTTGTTGAAGGTCTAGGCGCTTACTTGGTTAAATACTGTGGACCAACATACCTATTAATTTAGAAGGAAATTGATAATTTATTTTATGCTTCAGGTTCCTGTGGCTCCCTTGCAGAGGGCTACTGATGCACCTCCAGTTTTTAATCAATTATGGACGAATGAAGCCTATGGACCTTTGGATGTCCCCATTGAAAAAGGGATCCCTACACTCATTACATGGAATCTTGGTGGAAAGGATGTCAAGGTAGAGGGATCGTGGGATAACTGGGCTTCAAGGTATAGCTATTTCCACGACCCAATCTGAGTTTAAATGTTTCAAATACTTTATTTGATTGGAAATAGATTCAAATGAGTCTCAATTTTGTTTTAAATTTCAGGAGGTCCCTTCAGAGGTCAGGCAAGGATCACTCCATTTTGTTGGTTCTTCCATCTGGGGTCTATCAGTACAAGTTCATTGTAGATGGGGAATGGAGATACATTGCGGATCTTCCATCCATAGCTGATGAGTCAGGACGTATTTCTAATGTCCTTGATGTCCATGTGAGTATTATCTGAAAATATTACCGTGTTTCTTCACAAAATGTTTCAATTAGTAAGCCCGTTAAAATGCTAACTATCCTGCTATTATAACTTACATCCAGTTGATTGCGAAAAGTATTTTAGTTATTTGGAAAGAAAGTCATATAACTTCTGTATTTTTCTTCAGTAATTAAACTAGAGAAGGAAACTATTTTTCTTAAAGAAAATTGCATTATCTATCTTGTCCCGAAGTTATCTTTCCTTTTTCGTAATTAACACGTAAATCAATCAGAAACTTTTGTTTTCAGTAGTTTCCTCCAGTTCTTTGATTTATCTGTTTTGTTTAGAGTAGGGTTAATTGCGGATAGAGTCTATAGACCCCCTGTACTATTGCCCCAAGTGGTGATAGACCCTATCATTGAATTTTTGACTCTTTTATCCTCGAAAGTTTTTATTTATTTATTTGTTTATTTATTTATTTTAGTTGTCTTTCTCATGGGGTAAAAGAGTCAAAAAAGTTCATTCAAGAGGTCTGCAATATAATTATAGGGGTCTACACGCAATTGGGTGATAGTGTATGGGTCTGTCTGCAATTAATCCTTTGGATTGTCATGGGAAGTTTGGAACAAAAGAACAACTAGTCTTGATCCTGTCAATTATAGTCCTCCATTAGTCTTTTGTTAGAGACTAGAAGAACTCATATCTGAAAGCTAACTGTTAGGAGGGAACCCAAATCTTATTGCCACTCGCAAGCAAATGGGAAGCTTGTCGTTGACCACAGTACTATTTGTTAGAGACCTGTGAGAATTCAACAATAAAAAGTAGTCGTTGGAGAGACAAACCCAAATCTCTATAGTTGTTTTCCATTTAGTCAGTGTGGGACTAAATGGACTCTTTAACAGTATTCTATGTTAATATCCTAAGTTGCACAGGTAAGGGCACAGATACGGGAAGGGGACACGGCAAATTTGGAAAAGGCAGGGTATGGGGACACGTCTTAAACTCACGGAATATAGTCATAGTTTGGAGCCATATAACACCCTTCAAAATTGTAGCTCTTGAGGCTAAAACGAACTTGATCCTATCCACAAGTTACAAACAATGGTTGTGAAGTGTGGGATATGCATCCAAGAAGCGTATGATGAGTGTTTTAACTTAAACATGCATTGTATAATTGAGTACAGGTTTGATTTAATATATGCATATATTTAAAGAGAGTCCAAGAAGTGTCGGTTACGGGTACGACACGTGTTGGGTACGGTGTGGGTCCATATTAGAAGTACCCAGATAACATAGTCGATATCCCTCTCATTAGCCATTACTATCTTCATATGTTTCAACTCTGATGTTGGATGGATGGATAATGCAACTTGACCTACATAGAGTGATTTGATCATGATAAATCTGGCTGAACAAGGTACAGGCTTGCTATTTCGAGAAGGTTCAATTCTAGACTTCTAATTGAAGAAAGATGTGGACGAGTTTTTATTAAAGGTTAATTATGGAGTTTGTTTCTGCCGTATTCTCTATTTTGTTTTTTGTTTTTCCCCTCTTACCCTACATACCCTACATATTACTCTCAATAATTAGGGCTGGATCAACAAATCTCTTCGTTCTTATGTTTTTTTTAGGACTATGTTCCAGAGAACTTAGAAAGTGTATCAGAGTTCGAGCCTCCCCCATCTCCGGACTCCAGCTACAGCCAGCCATTCCCTGTGGACGAAGACTTTGCAAAAGAGCCACCGGCTGTTCCCCCGCAAGTTCATCTCACTGTTCTTGGAGCCCAAAATTCTGACGAGGAAACCCCCGAAAAGCCTCAGCATGTCGTACTCAACCATCTCTTCATTGAAAAAGGATGGGCTTCGCAATCTCTTGTTGCCCTCGGTTTAACCCACAGGTTTCAGTCTAAGTATGTAACCGTTGTTCTCTACAAGCCCACAGGGAGATAACGGCGTGAACCACCAGAGGTTTTCCTTCTCATGGTCATTTTTGAGTACATCACGTGCACAAGCTACGGATTCTATAGATGCAAAACCAAATGGAATCAAATTGTGAGCTTTGGCTCAATGGTGTTTTCTTGTTTCCTTGGCTTTCTGTATGATGTAAGAGAGAATATGTAATGCTAGTCTTAGAGTTCCAGTGAGTTGGGAAAAGCAAATGCCTATTGATCATCGTAGCAGTTTGTTTTGCTCCTATTATTTGAAGCGAAGAGATCTTTTGAAAGGGTGAAGCTGAGTTCTTGTCATCCCCTTTTTTTTTTTCGGTTTTGAGTGCTGGAAATAATTATGTGATGGATAATTACATGTAAACAGCCAGTTTTTTAATAGCATATTTCGTCTCTTTTTTACTTTTTGTCAGTTTCAGTTTGTTTAGTGTGTGAAGATAATGGTTTCTGTTTGAGGTTCGTGTATTTTGCTCTCAACCTTTATTCCCATTTTCTTTGTCATTTCAAATGAGTAGTGGATAGACCACTATTTTTATCACCGTCGTCTATTTATGTATCTATTGTTTTGTGGGTGGTTGTGGTTCATTCTAAATTTATCACTTATCATTCTCTAAAGAATTGCACTCATATCTAATCTAATTTACAGTAAAAAATAAAAATAAAAATTATCTACTAGACAAATCAATGATCCTGATTAAAGTAGCGATATTTTTACTACCTTTTAAGTACATTTGAGCATTTTTTCCCCTTCCAAATTGGTGTTCCGTTTACCGTTGCCATTTCCTTAGCATTAAGATCATAGCTTGAATAGATACAGATTTTAAATTGCACTAAAATACATTACGTTTCACTCATTTAACACTTGTATATATGCATAGTTGCTTTTTGGAGCATTTATATGCTTTGAGTTATTTAAAATTAGCACTTTTGTACCCTCCATTATACAAATATGAAAACTTTCTACCAAAGGTTCTCCTATAATATTCATACGCTAATTTTATAACTTTCTAGCAACTAAATTTCTAAACTCACTGTTATATTCATCCAGAATTTATTTTTCACATAGGATCAATATGTGTAAATTAGAATTTGGATAAGATTAACAGTAAATTTAATAAATATTAATGACTAAAAAGCTTTAAAATTTATATATGAATGTTATATGAGAATTTTTCATCACCATATTTGATTGCACTTTTATACCCTCATTGTCTATTTTCGTAAATAAATATACTTGCTAGTATCAGTTGGTTTATGCATTTGCAGAAAATAAAGGATTTATCAAATAAGCGATCGAAGAAGCCCAATTAATATATCTATATTTGAAGCTTAAAAAAAAGCCTAGAGAAAACCAACAAAGCCTAGAAGCCTAAGAAGAGTCGAGTCAACAAGTCAACATAATACAACAATTTCTATTATAACCTAATCGATGAAACTAATCTATTTGTTTGCAACATAAATGATCAATGACTGCTTTTGATTTCTCAAAGCCTAAGTCTGATCCAAGGGCTAACAGCTCGTTGCTACCCGAGCAGTCAAGCTAAGCTACGAGAGAAAAGCGACAGTCCTTCCAATCAAGCAAGCGACCAACCAATTCCAACGATTGCAGTGACGGCCATCGAAGCAAGAAGTATAGGCTTGCCGGATCAAGTGCGGTAAGGCGGGACTTGACAGGCTCTCGCAGCTACTATGCTAACGGGCAGCTTCCAAAAATGGCTACCGCATTTGCAATAAACTCCATTTTGGAGAGGAGTGCATTTAATTAGGCCTTCCAAAATTATAAACTTTGGTTTGCAATAAATGATTTTTTTTTTAATTTTCTACTTCTTCTCTTTGGTTGATTAAAATTTACTTCACAATTGGCTAATCCCTTGCAATGTAAGTTTTTATTTTTCCTCTTTTATTTTCTTAGTTAGAATAGCATGTTTAGCATTTTTTTTTCTTATTTTTATTTAATGCTTTTTATTTCTGGTTTTTATTTGTGGTGTTTATTCATTGCTTGGAGTGTGCCTGCTGTTGTGTGTCTATATTCATATATATATATATATTATATAATATAATATAATAATATATATAATATATATATATATATATATAATAATATATATATATATATATATATATATATTATATATATATATATAATAGCTGTGTGTTGTGTGTGTGGTGTGGTTGTGTTGTGGGTGTGTGTGTGTATCATGTTTTTTTTTTTCTTTTCTAATATGAGTAGCTTATTTCTTTAGGATTTATAGGATTAGATGAAACTAGTTTAATTTACTTTTTGGTTTTTGAATTGCTCTCTTTTTGTGCTTATATGATCATGCTTAGGATAATCAACTAGACAACTAATTGGTAGAATTTTTTTTGATAGGCTATACTTATCTCAAATTTTTTAAATAGTTTATACTTTTTCAATTCCGAATTACTATCTACTTGTTTATCTCTAATCATGAATGGTAATATTATTTGAATATGATTTTGATTGTTTATGCTTGTTTGAATACTTTATAATCTATGTTTAAGAAATTTAGGTAATATGAGAATTAAAAGAGAGTAGTTTTTAAATTCAATAGTTCTTAAATCAAAATAGGAATTAATTAGTAGATTCAAGCCTAGATTCCGAGTTTTGTTCTCTTGATTTCCTCCATCTCCTTATTTGCTTCTTCTTTCAGATTTTATTCTCTTTTTGATTTTCTTGTTTTCTCTCTTCTCTTTCTTTCATTCTCTTTTCTTATTTCTTGCTCTTTTATTTACAATAATTACACTCAAACCAATCTCCACAATCTCTCTTTTCTTTCATATTTTAAGAATCTCTTTAGGATTTTTTCTAATACACACATTCCTCGTGGGATCGACACTTACATGCTATACACACTACTTGTGCACTTGCAATGTTTTATTTAGAACACATCAACTTTCGTCTGAAATTTTTTATGTTTGCATAACAAATGGTACTAAATTGCTAACTTTAAACAACCCATGATGTATAAATGCTCCGAAAAACAACTAAGAGTATGTGAGAGCTAAATGTGTGAAACATAAGGAATTTTAGTGCAATTTAGCCAAAATAACTTTCGATCTTTTCATTAAGAAAAAACATATAATTACATTAGTCATGCTTTATTGATTGATAATGCCTCTAATCATATGTATGTTCAATAAACAATAGGAGATTTTTTTTTTAAAAAAAAAGCATGTAAACCCGGCCCAAAGTCTCCGGTGCCCGTTTCCTTTCCCCTCCTCCATTATTGGGCCGAACCGTAACATTTATTAATTTGGGAGGATCAAAATTGGGCCTGATAACGGCGCGGGTTCGTCACTAAGGCGACCCAATTCGGGCCCCTATTTTGACATGAGCCGCAAGTTTCTAGGGTTTTTGCTTTTCGCGAAACAAAACCCCAATCTTTTTAATCCGATCACTCATAATTAAAAATTAAAAAAAAAAGAAAAAAATCGAAGAAGAAGAAGAAGATGGTTCGCAGCCTCAAGAACATACAGAAAATCAAAAGAAAGAACAAGGTTGTTTCTCTCTCTATTTCAATTGCTATTTGCCTTTGCACGAATTTTGATGTAATGAGCTTCCTCATTTGCAGGGATCAAAGACGAAGAAGGGAGAATCATCATCGATCCCCTCCGCCCCTGCGCAGGTAAAATTTCTCATCAGAAGACATTGAATTCGTTTGAAATTTGTTCGATTTTGGGGGGGAAAAGCCTAATTTTGTTTGAATATTATTAGGTGTGGCAACCTGGAGTTGATAAGTTGGAAGAGGGAGAAGAGCTCCAATTTGATCCCTCTGCTTATAATTATCTGCGGGCTTTCAGCATTGGATGGCCCTGTTTGAGGTGTAATTTTGTATAATTTTTTAAAATGAATTGTGCAGATGTTGGTAGAAGCTAATTTTCCATTTATATTCATAGTTTTGATATTGTTCGTGATTCATTGGGATTGGTACGTTCGGAGTTTCCTCATACAGTTTATGGTGTCGCGGGGACTCAGGTATTTTAGATTTTCTCTTTAACAGAAGTTTGTATTTGTGATAAGCATGCTTGCAGATCATTGAATGATTTATATGATTCTAAAATTCATTCGCAAACCAAAGAATAGGTATGGAAAACATTTTAGTTAACTAAAGGTGATATGAGTCAAGTTTCATTAGCAAACTAAAGCAAATTCACATGTGTTAATGATTCAAATTTCATTAGCCAACTAAAGTAATTCTTGTATACTTTATACAATTTTTTCCTTCCTTTTTTTCTATATGTTTGTTGCTTTTATAATTAAAAACATTTTCAGGTATGGTTAGGGCTTCCTTTTTCTTCTTAAGTCATCTGTCAAGTTTCGGGATAACTTATTTGATGATAATGGGAAGTGCGCTAGTGATTTTAATACTATGTGAGCAATAACATAAAAATGGTCTAATACAATTTCTAGGTGTGTTATTATTTTTATGTTGTTGTTGTTATTTTCATTCTGTTTTCATATAAAATTTAGTAGTGTTTAGCCTTCTAACTTATTGTTCTCTAAAACCTTATGAAGAGATTAGTTATACTGTTTCTTTCTTAAGGCATTCAAATTTAGTGCTGCTGCCCTGATAATTTCATCTTTTCTCTTTGAATTTTCTGTTACCCGTTCTTTGTGTGCACCAGTTGCTTGAGAAGTAGCTATTGCTATTCCCTCATATAATTGTTTTTTGTAATTGTTATTTTTTCAAGTGAGCTTGCTTTTGATACCAGTCCTGGCAGCATATTTGGTTCTATTAATGTCTTTAACTTCTGTGTTATAGGCCGAGCAAGCATCCTGGAATCATATTGGTGTTTTCAAGCTCTCCAGTATATCTGGGAAAAAGCGTGAGGTGTTGCCTTCTAAATCTGCTGACAATGAGACTGATATTGACAGTGACAGCAGTAGCGATGAAGACGAGGATGAGGCCGACGAGTCTACACAACCTATTTTACAGGTAACGTCAGTTTTCTATTCGTCTATACACTTTTAGGATATTGTATAAGTATTTTTGTAATCTCACATTGGTCATCTTAATTGTCCAGTTGCATAAAGTGGCACATCAAGGATGTATAAATCGGATACGCTCCATGACTCAAAAGCCTCATATATGTGCAACGTGGGGCGATACTGGGCACGTTCAGGTTGTAAATCATTTTCACTTGAACTTATTTTCTTAGATAAATGTTGTGGCATGTTGCTGACTTGAAGGAGAAGAATGAATGAACTTGGATTCGACACTAATTTCAGGAGAGGAGTTTCAGTTTTAACAACCAAATTTCATTTTTATTGCATATCCAATCAACATTTTTTTAATTTTTTAATTATTTTGTCCTTTTGCTGTAAAATAGTCACTAGTGCTTGTAAGTCAGTATACTGATAATCTTCATGCATACACAATTCCTTATCGTTTAGTCATAAAACATGTATTCTAAGAAGTCTGTGATGTGCCCTTTATTACAGTGAAATCAAACAAATATGCAATAACCTAATCTTTTATTTCTGACACAGTTAGTGGTTTATTTGAATAGGTGTGGAACTTTACCTCCATCCTAAATGCTTTAGCAGAGTCTGAAACAGATGCCAGCAGGGGAGGTAATAGCATACACCATCAAGCTCCAATAATGAATTTTGGTGGGCACAAAGATGAAGGCTATGCAATAGATTGGAGTCTAGTTGTTCCTGGAAGGCTTGTTACTGGTATGTTTATCATGTTCCAGCTAGTCAAAGTAGTTGGTAAATATATCTTTTGATTGATTTATTCAGAAAGGAGTACAACATGTGAATGGTGTTTGCTTTTGTGCTTCTAGGTGATTGCAGGAATTGTATTCACCTTTGGGAACCTTCTTCTGAAACATGGAATGTGGATAAAAATCCTTTTGTTGGGCATACTGCTAGTGTTGAAGATCTACAAGTACACATTATTCCTGAAAAGTGCAATTTTTTTGTGCCATATGGTGGATATCCTCTGGGGATAGCGACACAATTCTTTCTGCTGTTATATTTAATGACATTGTTATGTGTTTCTTCACATTGCAGTGGAGTCCTACAGAAGCAGACGTGTTTGCCTCGTGTTCTGTGGATGGAAATATTGCTATATGGGATACCCGTCTAGGGAAATCACCAGCCGTGTCTATAAAGGCACACAATGCTGATGTTAATGTTATCTCATGGAATCAGTAAGTGGAGTACTCTAGTATAAGTATTGTTTATAGAAGATGTCTCTATCTATTAGTTTCTCTAGTCTGTTTATAGACTCTATCTATTAATTTCTCTATTCTGTGCATAGGCTAGCAAGCTGTATGTTAGCATCAGGAAGTGACGATGGCACATTTTCTATACGAGATCTTCGATTGATCAAGGTATACGTGGAGTTTTTATTTTTAGTTTAGCTTTTTCCAAATAAGTTATACTTTTTGTTATACTTACTGTTTTTCTAGTGTTTGCTGTCAATATGATAGTTGCTAGCTTGATTAATCAACGAGATCCATGCATATATTGAACTAGCACTGTCCGTTCTTTGCTCCTAATGTTTAATACATGGACTCCGGAGGTCTGTTTCGTGTTATTGATGTCATGCTGTTTTTTGGTAGATATTTGCGATCAATGGGTAATACAGGTTCTTCTGATCAAAAGCTATTTGGCTAATGCCTTGAGACACAAGTATCTAATTGAAGGCTATTTTCTCAAGTACCCTATACTTTCTTAAAATCTATTACCAACCGTTTATTAGGAAGGATTTGTTTAGCTTCAGATGAAGGGATACTAACTTTCTATGAATTATTAGTTGCTAATGTTTAGAGCTCAGTTCCAGTATTGATAGCAGGGTAGCTCCCCTAGGTATCAATTTTGGTAGTTGTTGGAGATTTCATATTGAAGAACCGAAGCTCCAATGACGACAGCTCAAAAACATCATAGAGACATTAAATTTTAAAAAACTAAAAATAATTGTTAATCTTTTGACATGATTTTTTTTTTCTGCATTGTTCACATCTTGAGTAAGTTTGGTAAAACTTTAGAGTATGACATTGCTTACACTTTGACATTGCTTACACTTTGCTGGTCTTTAAAAATGATTCTGTATTCCTGAATTAATAACTTTAATTGCAGAAAACTAGCTAATTAAGTTTCAGATTTTTCTAACTTGAGAAGCACATGTACAAGTTAAGTATTTATTCATCAGTTAATACATTGGTACATCGATTTGATGATTACATATATGGTGTTAATTTATTAAACTTAGTGCAATATTTCTCTATCCAAGTTCATTTTTACTATTATTTTTGCATACCTTTTAATTACGTTAATTTATTGGATTAGGGACATAGTATATTGTAATTTAGCCTTACTTTGTTTGAAAATTGACCGTGTTAAATGAGGGGTAGAAGTTACCAATGTTTAAAAAAGCGGAAGCGCAAGACGAAGTGCTAGACCCTTTGATGAAGCGAGGCGTAAGCTTCAAAGCGTGAGGCGTAAGCTTCAAAGCGTGAAGTGTAAGCTTCATGAGTTTAAATATTTTAATTTAAATTGGTAACAATTATGAACATATAACATACGTAACAATTACAAGTATATACGTTCATGTCCTGATTAGTAAATTATACTTACTCTCTTTAATAGCACGAGTTTAAGAAAAACTTTCTATGGTCAATATTACCCTTCGGTATTTTAAATATTTTATTTAAAGCTTAATTTATCATAATTTTTAATTATATCTTATACTAACCCCGCATGAACTAGCTATAGCTTAACAAGTAAAAAAAAATAAGATTAATAAAATATTACTTTGAATATTTCATTTAAAATTTAATTTATCCTAATAATAATTATATCCTATACGAATCCCACGTGAACTACCTACAGCTTAATAATTTAAAATAATAAGATTAAGAAATCGTACGTAGCTAATATATTATAATACGTGAAGTATTACAAAAAACCTAATTTTTTTAAAAATTCACAAAATACCCTCAAAAGTTCAAAAATACACAAAATACCCTGATTTTTTAGAACTTAAAATAACAAACATGAAAGCTAGAAATTAACAATATCCTTTGAAGAATTTAAAATTTATAAATCACAAAATTGCAAAACATACCCTCAAAAGTTTGAAATCACAAAAAAGGCTATTTTTTTTTAACATGGCAAATAAAAGAGCAATTGTTTGATATTCTTTCATTAAAATATAAAAAATTAGCTTCCAATTTAAATTTTACGATCCTTTTAGCATCTAAAAGTAGTCTAAGTTGATACTGGTAAAAAATAGCAACAACAATAGACTAAAAACATCCAGTTAAGAAATAAAAATTTAAAAATATGACAGATTAAAAATGAACGCCACTGTATATAATTTTACTAATAATATTAATTCATAGAAGACTAAATTACAAAAATTGATAAAAGACTACAATATAATAGCTTAATATTAATTGATTATAATGTGTAAACATTGATCTCTGATGTTAATAATATTTATAGGGTAAAAAATATAAGGAGTTATGATGTCTCCTTCAAAAGAATCAACCTATTTTCATTTTAAATGGAGAAGTGAAAGAAATAAACCTAAAATTCAGAAACATTTCTGAATTACTTAAATTGATATTGACAAAAGGCATATTTATCAAAGACGCACCAACTGAGTTCCTCTTAAAGAACATATTAACAACTTTTTGCCAATCAAAATGCATTTTTCATGAAAGATACAAGAAAAATTAGTAAATATTTATAAAATTTCGTACTTTATTATTTAAATACTAAAGGAATCATGAACTTAATATAAAATTACATATAAATAAACTTACAATAGAAATTACATATAAATAATCACTACAAAAAAGTTTCGAGAGATGAATGAGCAAAAACTATCAAAGTGGAACCGAGGAACAAACTTTTAACGACGTGCATTGCACGTGCATAAAACCTAGTAAAAATTGAACATGTGAAGTATAGAAATGAATCATAATAAACTAAGCTACATGCATGTCATAATATTTTATTTATACTCACATAGTCATATTGCAAATATATAGGGGCATTTTAATGTTAGTCAAGTTTAAATATTTTAATTTTAAATCAGTAAAAATTATGAACATATAATATATAGTGGGTAACAATTACAAATATATCATTCGTGTCTTGATTAGTAAATAAGAATTAACACATGTGAAGTATGGAATTGAATCATAATAAACCAAGCTACATGCATAACGTACATATTTTATTTACACTCACGTTATTGAAAATATATAGGGGCATTTTAATGTTAGTCAATGATCCTTTTATGTCCTATCTAGTCTTAAGCGTGTGCTTCAAAATAAAAGCACTTTATGAAGCTCGAAGCACATACTTCAATTATGCTTTAAGCGATGAGGCGTAAGCTTCAAGGGCTAAATAGTTTCACTCTTGAGTTTCGAAGCGTTTACCCTACAATAAGTTGTGAAGCGAGTTTCGCAGCGCGTTTTAAAAAAAAAAATTCTAATAGTGGAAATAACCAATCCAAAGAATGTAACAAATAGTCTTATTTGGAGGGTAAGATCTGCAAATAGAGTAGATTTGGATGGTATATAGGTAAAACCTCCATTTTATTTATATGAATTGTTTTATTTTTGTAACTTATTTTTAATTGGGTCAAACTAAGCGAACTGAGTCAAGTCCCTTAATCCTTTTCCATACACACATACACACTTCAGATTTGGTTCTAGTAATTTCAGATTAGGTTGACCCAATAATGGCTCCGGTAATTTAGATTATGTTCGAGGAAACCTGCTGTGGTGGGTTGAGATTGTCCTCCCTACTTGAATAGGATCAGCTTTTGTTTATTACTTCAAGCTAAGAACCGTTGTAGGGCATAGTTTTATCATCCCAGAAATTTCCATCAATATTCCTTGGAAAGGAAAAAAGCTAATTGATTAACCAGCTTGGTACCAAGTGATGGTTTTTCCCCCCATTCCAAGAGCCGTGTCCCTTACATCCATTGAATCAAGATAGCTGGCAGTACAATGTTCATCTAGACAATAAACTAAAGTGAAACCCGATCAGTGAGATATACTGGCATGGGTCATGGATGCAGACAAGATTTAGACTTACATAGGAAGTATACATTAAATTCAAATCGTTATATACCATTAGCAGCTTTGAAGGGGGTTTGCTTAGTATATCATCTCTGTAATTTGTTGACTGGGAAAATTGCTTGCTTTGTTATGGTTATTTCTTTGCACGAGCTCAAAGCTTAACGTGCGTCCATTTACATCTGCAGGGAGATTCCTTGGTTGCACACTTCGAGTACCATAAGCAACCTATTACATCAATAGAATGGAGCCCACATGAAGCATCCACTTTGGCTGTCTCATCTGCAGATAATCAGTTGACGTAAGTTATTTTTTTTTACTATCAACGACACGAAAGGCAATAAAGCAAAAATGTCATGGAACTTACTTTTTTTTTAAATTTTAGTAATCCTATGTAAATCGTGTTTGTTTTATATTTCCAGAATATGGGACCTCTCATTGGAAAGAGATGAGGAAGAAGAGGCTGAATTTAAAGCAAAGATAAAAGAACAAGCAAATGCCCCACAAGATCTACCACCTCAGCTCCTTTTCGTTCATCAGGTTTGTTCCTATTCCAGTTGTCCGGGTAAATTACGAAAGTTCCCCTATAATTTGTAGAAATGACAGAAAATCTCCCTAACGTTTAGAAGTGACATTTACCCCCTTGGTCTTCAACTTTTAGTCAAACAGTCATCAATTTTTGATAAAATCATCAATTTTATTGCGATAATCATATTTTCATTTATATAATCATATGGAGGAATTTGTCATGTTCTATTAGTATATACTTTTTAATATCCTAATTAACATGGTAAAATTGAAACAAAGGGGTCAAATTGGCACTTCTAAACCCCTATGGGATATTTCTGCGACTTAATGGAAAATTTAGGGTAACTTTCTGCTTTGAACGAGCCCAATATATTTCAGCAAGTAACTGTCAGATTTATCTTATTCCTTGTATCTGTATGTGATTAAGGAGAAACCAATATTGATTAAGGAGAAACCAATATAATTTTGTTATTTTTGTGTGTGTATATATATAGGGCCAGAAAGATTTGAAGGAAATACACTGGCACCAGCAGATCCCAGGGATGTTGGTATCCACAGCTGCCGATGGCTTCAATGTTCTCATGCCTGCAAATATAGAGACTACTATTCCAGGAGCTGCATCGTGAATAATCCAATTTTACTACCTTGGCTTATGCAAATGCATTCAAATGCAGAGGTGTAGAAGCAAAAAAAAAAAAAAAAAACATTCATGTTATATCTATTGAGTCCTGTACTTAAGAATGACATGAACGTGAATTTTGGGTTGTTAAATGTAAGCTGGGGGGAGTATTTGCTTGAGTTGCCTTTTGAATCGTAACTTTACGGTTTGACCGTAAAATTCCTTCTTCTTCTTTTTCTTTTTTTATATTTTTTGGGAATTTTATTTACAGTTTAAGGTGTTGTCTATTGGTATCTATTTGTAGTTTACTGAAAAAGATATGTTAACCTACAACTTTAGTTAACGTTACAGTTTTGTTCCTGGAGCTGCTGTTTGAACGTGTTGATTTCGTTTGCTTTTTGTGTTTGAATATGTTTTGTGTATGCAAGAGTATTTTGAGATTTGCAGCCAAGGATGTTCACCTATTTGTGTTTGGATGTGTTGACGTTCTTTGATTATCTGATGATTGTTCTATCATAATCCTTGGGAATATTCATCTATTGTTTATATTTCAAATCCCCTGCCCTTAGAAAGTTACTCGTCGACCTTGATAATAATGTTTTATCAGTCATGATTTTACTTTATTATTACCCGTAGGAAATTGAAGTTCCTACCAAAATGACCATCGCAAAGTTGGGAGAGGAGTCGTTTGGGCTTTTATTTAATCTGAGGCGCAGCTTCTGTAGGGCGCAGTTATTGCCAGCCTACTTCTTTGTCACAATGCGGTGGCTGACGCAGTCGAGTCGACTGCCCACGAAGACTACATCGTCACATCTCCACAAGCCTTGTCACAGCGTACGCGATGAACACGCCCCTTTGGAGCACCCTCTCTGAAGAGTTCCTAACGAGACCCTTCTCAACTTACAGAGGTATGATGGGAGCTCAACTTGATAATCACGTTCCCAAGTCTTCAAACGATATTTCTATCGGCAAATTGCTGATTTGAGCGTAAGGAGGGCTTTCACCGGGGCTCAACCCCGGCCCTAACATCATCGAAAAGCCTCGGTCCTCGGAAGAGTAAAGCTGACTCCTCCAAAGGAAGCCCCTCATTTCTTACACCGTCTAACTCTTACGTACTCTTTATTTTCTCCGCAGTATACCATGCACGTCCTGCTGTGTGGATCCTGTCGTGCGGTATTCAGAGATACGTGACAACCTCCATATTCGTTGCGGTAACAGTTTCTTTCGCAATGGATTAATTGAACACGAGATTGCGGGAAAAAACATTCAACAGGAAAATGGAACAGTGCGGTTATCACAGCCCCACCTTTCTAAGGTAAAGGTTTATATGTTGGTCGTGTGCTGTTCATTTAGTATCGATGGCAGCCTTGAAATAACAATTGACGCATGTTTCCTGGCCCCCTAAAATTATGGAGGAAAAAAGTTGATAGTGGCATCGCAAAAAACCTTATTTTGTGGGAAGAAGTTTAGGGATAAATGACATTTTTAATTTGAATAATGACAATAAGGGATCGCTGATCTTAAAGAAATAAGAGAAAAGAAAAAAAAGAAGAAGAAGGGAATGAGAATGATGCAGAAAGAGAGAACCTTTGTCTAATTGATTTCAACTCTCTATCTCTCTCTCTTTCTGTGTCTCTCTCCCTTTCCAAATTATTGCAGAACGCCTTTAACATCTCACGTAGATTTTCGATTTTATGATCCCACATTCTAAAGATTGAATTGGGTTTTCTGCTTTCAGTTTTTGGTGGATGCATCAAAAAAGTTGTTCGTACTAGGATCCCAATTGGATTTTGTTTCCTTATTAAAAAGAAATCCAATTGGTTTTTTTAATTTATGAAATTTGATGGTTCCCTACGTGAGCAATGTTGCGATCCCAAATCGCCGGAGGCTATATCAAGTTTGGCCCGGAAGAAATGTAAGAGCCCTCTTCTTTTTATACATTTATTACATGTTGGTTTATACCCTTTAAATTTTTTGAAAATTTGATGATTATTATTATTGCAATATTTTAGTTTGATTGTGAATTGAGATGGGCATACCTCCTTGTTAAAATTCAATCCATCGACATGCAATCAGGAATTTTATCATTCATGCTTTTGTTTCATCCCTTCTTCTATTCTAGGATTTTCTTTATTCTTCTTCTTTTCTCGTCCCCTTCCCTTTCATTTTGTTATAGCTCATTTAAGATTCTCTTTAAATTTCGATTTTCGTATTGTTCCTATAATGTTGTTGTAAAAATTTGGTAGAGCTGTTCTGCCAAAGACAGAAATAAAGCATCAATGTGTTTAGCCAAGAAAACACAATGTACCGGCATATTTTAAAACTACAAAGTGAAGAAATTAGCTTGTTATACATAATATAACATATAGAATATCGGATGAAGGGTAAGCTGAAAATTTTACTAGATTTTACATGATACTTCATTGACCACTCTAGCCTATTGTTTGTTTGAAGGTAAATGTGCAATGCATCACAAAGGGAACTAACATTATCTGAACCAAGTGTGAGTCCACAAGTTTTTCTTATATGCACGGTAAATTTCGTCCTCTCTATGAGACTCCGAAGGCATCAACATGAAAGGAAAGTTCTATGACTAGGCTACATAACTAGCCACGATTCATATAATATGATGCAAGTGAGAAAAATAAAGGAGTGTTCTGGAAGGAGAGCCTGGATATGAAATATAGGCAACACATCAGAGGTAGAGAATGAACTAAGATGTTAAGTCAATTTTCAGAATCTGCAAATAGAAGGCAGAGTCACTTGATCACAAGGGTTAATGTGAGCATCTCTTCATAGTATCAAGGGCTCAATATGATGAGCATAAAGGCTAAATAAATGATTGAGGACGTAAAGAGAATGTGATGGTTTTCATTTAATTTGATAGAGGAGATGCCTCAGTATGGCTGAATACATGGAAATAATTCATTTTCTGAAACCAAAGGATGTCAAGTCTTCAGTACTCTCAGATATCTGTTTTGTTTCCCTCAGATCTTATACTTGTAACACAATGTTAGTTATCTTTGGCCATAAGTTTTTACCTTTTCTGCATTCAATAACAATATATGTGCTTCCATATGATATAATTTAGTTCTTATGCTAATAAGTACTCTTTTTTTCCTTATTTCAGAAATTCTTTTGCGGAGGGAGATTGATATTTGGTCCAGATGTTGGTTCACTATTTCTATCCATGTTTCTAATAGCCGGTCCAGCAATAACCTTCTGTGTTCAAATGAGCCTAAAAATCTTAAAACATGCGGAGGCTGAAGTCAAGCATGGAACTAATCATCATATCCTCACACTTTGGGTTCCAGCAGTACTTGTGGCATTATTCCTCACAGTGATGGTAAGTGATAATCAACCAAAATTCACTCCAAAAAGGCGTTCTATAAATTTCTTTCACTCAATGTGCTATTAGTATGAATTATTCTAGAATCTATAGTTTTCTAGAGTTGAGCTCAGAAAACTATAGATCCCGACGTTAAAATATTAATTTTAACAAATAGACTCACTGTAGTATCGCTGTTTTGAACTTACTACCACTGTGGTTTCCTTGTTCCAGACAGATCCCGACGTTAAAACAGTAATTTTTTAATATTTTAACATGGGTGAAATTAGGGCAAATGTTGCCTATGGGTGAAATTAGTGAGTCTGTCTAAGGTAAAGAGTCAAAATTGATTCTTTTACTTTATTCTTCTTTTTGTATTGCAACCTTTCGCCTGATAATCTTTCGTGTACTGTTCCACCAAAATATCTTTAATTTAATCCAAATTGATTGATTATTGTTTTGTGTTGTTTTGGTTTTTGCATTTTTTGCTTTTGGCATGCCTACTTGTATTTTTTGGGTTGTTTCACCAAACTTTTATTGATGGAACACAGAGGATCTATCTGCAACAATGAAACCAAAGGGTAGAAGTTCAAAACAACAAACTAGGAAGGTCTATGTGCAATTAATCCTTTGATCTTTTCAAACACAAGTTGATGCAGATTTTTACAATAAATTGGGTAATGCAGGATATGGTGTTTCTCTTGTTAACATCGAGCAGAGATCCAGGCATAATACCGAGAAATCCACAGCCACTCGAATGCGATGAAGCATTCGATGTCACAACTCCTTCTATGGAATGGATCAGTGGAAAGGGAGCACCAAACTTAAGAATTCCCCGAACAAAGGATGTTACGGTAAATGGTTTCACAGTAAAAGTAAAATACTGTGAAACTTGCTTGCTTTATCGTCCACCCCGTGCTTCTCATTGTTCAGTCTGTAACAATTGCGTTCAGAAGTTTGATCATCACTGTCCTTGGGTTGGTCAGTGTATTGGACTAGTAAGTCTCTCCTTTGGGTTATCTGTGCTTTGGTACCCAAAAGCTTACACCTCTTTTAACTTCGATAGTTCAAAGGTTTTTCTGACACTTTGATATCCCAAAGTTTACACTTCTTTTTATGAATTTTGCAGCGTAACTATCGATTCTTTTTCATGTTTATAACTTCGTCGACTTTGCTTTGCATTTATGTTTTCACCTTCTCATGGCTGAACGTAATAGAAGGGAAGAAAAATCATGCGAATTCTATTTGGAAGTCACTTGCAGATGAGGCTTTATCACTTGCCCTCATTATCTACACTTTCATAGCAGTCTGGTTTGTTGGTGGGCTCACAGTCTTGCATCTTTATCTGATCAGCACTAATCAGGTAATTTTTCTTCCTCACGAGAAATGGGATATAGGAGCTATAATAAAAATTCTATAAAGTTTATTGCTGGATGGATATGCTCTAAGAACTCTATTGGCTAAATATCAGATAACCTCCCTTAACTTTGGACAATTATCAGATAACCTTGGATTATCAGAAAATCCCCTTTAAGTTTGAGATTTTATCAGAAAACCCTCCTAGATTTTGCGAAGACATATTTGTTAAGTACGTTGAAAATGTTTGTCACGGAGCAATATATGCTGATATAGAAGTATAAACAAGAAAATAAAGCCTTTTTGGCAAAGTGTATATGCTCAATCTAGCTCTAACATGCACAAGTTTCATATCCTACATCAACACTTCATTTTACTAGCCATATTTCCTTCCAAATTGTATAGCCATAACACACCTTGTATTTGTATGATTTTCTGCAGACAACTTACGAAAACTTTCGCTATCGATATGATAAGAGGGAGAATCCATTCAACAAAGGAACATTGGGAAATTTCAAACACGCGTTCTTCTCGAAAGCGATACCTTCATTGAACGATTTCAGATCATGGGTTCTCCAAGAAAATATAGAAATTGAATCTAACACCCCAAATAGCACGACAGAACTTTTTATGCCGGACGAAATGTTGGACTTGGAAATGGGAAGAAAACAAGAATACGATCAGTCATCAATGCCTGACATATTAAAAAAATTAGACTACAGTGCTATTGAAGAGAACCTGAAGGGAAATGGTGCAAGGAGCAGGGATGATGATAGTATTCCTTTTGCATTTCCTGTTCTTGAAGGAGTTAATGTTGTTGATGAAAGTATTGGCGAAGGATGCTTTTTATGCCGGACGAAATGTTGGACTTGGAAATGGGAAGAAAACAAGAATACGATCAGTCATCAATGCCTGACATATTAAAAAAATTAGACTACAGTGCTATTGAAGAGAACCTGAAGGGAAATGGTGCAAGGAGCAGGGATGATGATAGTATTCCTTTTGCATTTCCTGTTCTTGAAGGAGTTAATGTTGTTGATGAAAGTATTGGCGAAGGATGCA